GCCCCCCCCCCCCCCCCCCCGGGGGGCCAGCCAGTGGCAGGCGGGGGGAAGAGAGGGCAGAGGCCATATGCGGAGCGGCAGCAGCACAGAGTGAGGTGTGGCAGCAGCAGTGACCATGTGCGAGCTTTCCCTGACCCTCTCCCTGCATCTGGCCGGCCAGAAATTCCAGTTAGTGAAGTATTCTGGTTATTTAAATGCCAGGTAACAAGGATTTTACTGTAGTATAAACACCTTAAGCCATTTTAAGCAGACCTGTTATTTTACTAACAAAGATAATAATTTCAGTATGAACAACAAGCTGATGGCTATTTTTCTCAGACAGAATATTTAGGCTGGAAGGGACTTCAGGAGTGCCAAGTTTCAGATCTATCTAGTCCAGTGGATCTCAAACTTTTTAGACTCAAGACACCCTTTACTAGCCTTGAAAATGCCAGCTCTTAAGTTTTCACTCCATTTTTGACTACAGAAAAAAATAGAGGAATTCTTCTGTTGGAAGGTAGACCACAGCAGGTCAGCATATTTTGAACTCTGTGGATTCTTATTTTAAGTCTCTGGTTTTAATTTTATGAATTTTCACATACCTAAACAATGCTAACACTGTGTGGTACCCCATGGCATCCTTCAAAGGGTATCAAGGCACCTCAAGGTGCCATGGTTGAGAATCACTGATCTAATTTGTTCTCCTACTCAAGGCAAGATTATCCCTAACAAAAATTACCCGAGTCAAGTGTCTATTTAACCTGCTCTTAAATCTGCTTCCCAAGATTTGTGTCTGCCATTAAAAAAAATTTGGTATTTTCAAGTCTTTGATTAATTCTGTTTTTGAGGGGGAAAAAGTCTGTCAAAGTATAGGTTGAAAAAGTTAAAATTAACAGACTATTAAATAAATAATATTTGTAATGCCTCTTCAAAAATACTGTGAACTTCATTACATCAAACTTGCAATGCTCCATTCAAGCAGCCAATACTTCCTATGCCAAAAGTTGTCACATTGTCCTATAATAAAGCTGCAAAACACAACCTGAAGAAAGTTTGCCAAAATAAAAATGGGAATATTTATTATCTTTTCTACTAAAGCAATGCAGATCTTTTGAGATTATACATTGGTCTTTGCAAATGTTTCCATAGCTTAATTCATACTTTTCAACTCTATAAAAAAAGAAAAAAAAAAAAAAAAAAATCAGACAATGTTCATAAAAACCAAAAACACAAGGGAAGTCGCTGAACAGACAGAGACTATTATAACTGTTAGTGGTGATGAGCAGAGAAAGCTCAACCATTATTTTGAATTGCTGACACTCTCTGTATCATTATATATCCAAGTCCTTACCATGGGACAAGATATTGAAAATATTTTGTTAGAAAAAAAATTAGAAGGTATGAATACATTATTTTGCACATTTTTAGGTCTATAACACTGGCAGTTCTATTTCCCAAGAAGCCATGAGAAATCAGATGCAACTGTCAAATAATGAAGTTTGATCAAGAGAATATAGACATTATTTAGTAGGTACACATGCACATGATGCAAGGGAAGAAGTATTTATAGGCCCATGAATACAGTACAAGACAAACTGTTACAACTGTCAAACGTGCGCTGGACATATCTGAAGTTTATGAAAAGCCTCGCAGTCTTATTTGTTGTCCTGAAAACAGTATAAGCACATTGTTTTATGTATTTTTCCAAAATTATCTTCACTTGGCCTCCTGAGCTTTCTTGGCATTCTGTTTTTCTTTTGCCTAGAAGGCAAAGATGGAAACCAAATTAAAGTGCAGTAAGAATACATCCTATATTTTTCTGTAACTCAAAATAAGTTCACAAATCATACAATATAATATCCACTATACGTCATGCCAGAACTTCTAAAACAAGATTTAGACGCTTGAATGCCCTAATACTACTCAGAAGCAGATACAAGGCTTTAAAAAAAAAACCCATGTTGGAGCTTAAATTTATCGACCAAAAAGGACATTAAGTGACCCAGTTACTTTTCAAGGAAAGATATAATCTTAGATATTTGTATTTCTGTTCTCATTTCACCAACTTAGACAATGTGCCTAACAGATTTTTTTATTGCTTTGGAATTTATCTTCTCATGTTGCTTATTGCCCATCTGAAAATCATAATCTTTTGGGTAAACATTCATAAGTGGATCCATACGTCATTGGAAACTTTTTGCAAAAGATGATTCTGAGGAACACAAGGGACCAATAGCAGATTGGAAATGGTCTAAGATAAAATTGGGGACAGGAACTCCATACTGACTGTAAATGGTGCATGAAAGGGTTTGCAGATGAAAGGGTGACGGCAGGCAATCAAAGGTGAGCTCTTTATGTTGTCATGCTGTTATAGCCACACACCTGCCTAAAGCGTCCAACAGCCACTCGGAAAGCAATCTGCATGACTTAGTTGTACTGTTCCATCCTTTTAACTATAGAATGGCGGACAACAGACATCTGCTACAAGACTTTAGCAGGCTTGGTAACCCTTCACTTACTATGAGGGCAATCCTGATCAACATCAGTATACCAGACTTCTCAGACTACTTCTAAAAAACAAAATTTTATTTCTAGACAATTTAAAATCCATTCTTATAAGCAGATTGTGGAAGATCTTACTATTGCAAGTTACTATTGTCTTGCACTGATACCAGTTCTAGGGTTACTATTTCCTCTGGTGAAAAAGATAAGAAACCTTTGGGAAGCAAGGAAGACTGCAATGTGGCTGCCAAAATTCTGATTTACCGGATAATAGTTATCTGGCAAAAATTAACAGTGAGGAGCAAGTTCAGTTGCTGGGACACTATGGGAATTGGCTTGCATGGACTACTCCCCAGCAAACTCAAAAATACCATGGCAGCATATGACAGGAGATATGGCTAGGCTATCTTACATTAGGTCAGTGGCAGTGAAATTGTGATGGGGCCTTATAAAAAGAGAACTGCCTGATCTTTCTATGGCATCACTTGTTAATGTCAGCCAAGAGGTCTCAAGTAAGAAAAGAACGCACATCCTTCCTTTAGAAGGAATCATCCTAATGAGGGACTGATTCCTTCTAAAGGCAGTACCAGTACACAGGGACTCTTAGAATCATGGTGGTTGCTAATGCAAGTCTAGATTTTCCCCATATCATATATATACTAGTATCATACTATGGTCCATGTTGGCTTTGGTGCCATGTCTTTACTCTAGGCCCCAATCTTGTGCTGTGCATCTGCTGGAAGCCGTGTCCATTGATGTTTCCTTCAATACTTGTTGGATTTTGATAATCATTTCATCTGGGTTTGAAGTACTTTCCCTGACTGCTCCAGGAAGAAGAGCCTAAGTCCCAGAACTTGAGTTCTTCAAGAGAAGACTGACACACTGTGCATCCATTAGCTATAAGACTCTCACCCAAGCAAGGTCATCTGCTATACCCATTTGGTATTGGATCAGGCAGCTGCAAGAAAAACAGAACCTGAAGCCCAAAGGTTTAGGGTTCAACA